TTTTTTTTAAAAAAAAACACAGTATTCCGAATAAGGATAAAAGTCTCTTAAAGGTATGCCATCTTTGATATATTTCCGTAAGTTTAAACATGGGGTGTGGGTGGGGCAGAGAAGCAGTTGCACATAAAGCATCATTGTTTTCCTGACTGTTTTTAATGCAATTTTGTATGTTCTCTTCATATGTTCTCCTTTCCAATATTCCTTTGTAATTGTCAAGGTTTAAGATGGAATGCACTGGGATACATTTGAGGTGCTTTCGCAGAATTGTTTACAAGAACTACACTGTCTTCCATTTGCAACACTCCCAGATTTCCCCCACCCACTCCTTTCTCTTCTATGTTTCTTCTTTCCAGAGAAACAAACAAACAAAATCCTTACATTAAAAACAAAAAGGCAGAAGAGCAGCACAATAATCTTTGAACACAAGCACCAAGGGCTCCTCTGTCCAGATCTTGTAATATTCAATAACTTTGGAAACAGAAACTTTGCAGTTGACCAGTTAGGGCTATCTGGGCCAGTATTACTCTTTGTTTAATAGCGGATGCAAATATATTAAATACACCATGTAGGTGCCTTGAAATCGATAGGCATTCAAATGGAAAAGTACAAGAGGCGCAGAACAAACGCACAAAGGAGTCTGATCGATGAGGAGAATCCATTGGCGTGGATTGGCAGTGACTGGGAACAGGGCGAACCAGGAAGTAGTTCAGGTTGAAAATTGAGTTGAATTAAGAGCACACAATCTAAAATTCCCGTTTGGTAAATTAGGAGCTGGATACATGTTTTGTTTCCACCCTTCTGTGAAATCAACTTAATCTGATGTATGAGTAGAAATGTGTGCATACATTATACGTTGACTTCTATCATTGGGACCACAGAAGTGAGATAAGTGACAATTTGCAATAAAATCAATAATTTTTGGTTTTGGTGCAAAAGAGAGAGATGAAAATCAGTTACAGGTTTTCGCCAGGAAGGATCCGCCTACCTCATGTCTATCTGTCGGACTAAACTAAGCATCGTCTATCAGACTTTTGCAGCCTATAAACAATTATATTTCTTTCTCTGTTACACTGTGCTTCAGGATTCTCTAAAATGGTGCTGTTTAGGATTTTTAAAAATAGGGTGCATCACTCCTTATTCATATTGTGAATACAATAGTTTCTCGCAAAAATAATAATAATCTTTTTACCGATACTCCAAAGCATGTACAAAGAATTCTATATATGCTCACATGAATATATATATGTGAGTCTGTGTGTATTTATGTACACACACAGGCATACACTTGCAGAGAGAAGCTGAATTTGTTAAGCTGGTCCTTAGTCATTTGTATTATTAAAGTTTTAAGTTTGGAATAAACATTGAAAATGTAAAACACAAATAATTTATTTCTTTGTGCATATTTATATAGCCTTTTAAAAACAAGAAAATCTTTTTTGCTTATTCTTTTACTGCTACAGACTTTTCAGAGACCTATGATTTTGTATAGGTAAATAAACTTTATGCTACTAAATATTTTCTTACTTTCTTTTTGTTTGTTTAAGGCTTTCCTTCTCACTCAGGGCATTAGCATAAATAAACATAAATAACAAAACTGAGGCAAACTTGCAAGATTACTGCTTCTTACAAATTTTTAATACTCTCATATGAGATCTAGCAATTGCCATAGAAAATTCTCAGAGGAAAAATTGCAGCAAAAGTTGTGGAATTTGGGCTATCGTTTCTGTAATGTCATTTTTGATGTACCCACCATTGTCTAAACAAAGCAGCTAGTATAAAAAAATGTCTTAACAAGGTAAGCTTTCAAAAACTCCGCAGGAAAAGTCTTACTCTATAATCTCTTCTTTGCTCT